AGCCGACGTAAAAACTCTCGGTACTCTTTTAAAATATCAAATTTTCAAACAACACTGCTTTTAAAACAAATATCGCAAATGAATTAGAAGTAGCCTGTCTAGCACTAGTCCCAGGCCCTTTTAACAACTAGATAATCGTTAAGTTTATAGTAAGCCTTTTTAAACAGCTTTTCTTAAATACAATTCTTAAATTTATTAAAAGGCAGAGATAAAAGAGCCTCTGGGATTTTATTAAAGAAAAGTATCCCTTTCCCTTCCTTGCTTTAGTTCGACTCTCATGCCTGAGGTTTGTCTCTTTTGGAACACATCTTGAGGATAGCGGCATGGTTTTTTTACTGATCTACTGTCTCAAATCCAAAAATCGACGATATGTTTTTTTTTTTATGTTACAGGAGGCAGACGGGCCGGAGGCTCACCTGATGTTAAGTGATACCGCCGCCCATGGACACTAGCACAGCCAGAAGGCTCTCAAGCGCGCTGCCGGCCTTTTAAGAATTGGTACGCTCTTTTCTTGAAGGACCCTAACTCGAATTGGCTCGGAAATACTTCAGTGGGCAACTGGCAGCAAAATATGACAATATCTACGTATATGGAAAACTACAAAAAACCCATTTAATACGGCCTTCTAAATTATTATGTAATAATAAAATATCAATTAATATAAGGAAAATTGGTAAGGAAGGAAATATATTGCAAAAATTTCACAACTATTTGCTATTATAAAACTTTATGAAGTAACAAAGTACCTATGCAAGCAATATCAAAATTAAATAATTAAAAAATAATAACTAAAAACGCTCAGTTGTGGAACGACGGACGTCAACGTGATACGGATGCGTACCTACGTCGATTCTGCCTTGACGTCCGATTATGAAACTCAGTTGCAGGTATAGTCCGAAAAACTCCTCTGAACATGTGTCAGACAGAAGGCTGATCACCTACTTGTCTATGAAATAAAAATAACCAACACGGATGTAATCTGGAGCAAAGACCTGCGGTTCTAGCCCCATAGACATATTTAGAGTGAGTTAACTAACAACATGCTATAAAGCAAGAAAAATATATTTATTTTATTGTAAAACAATAATAACTTTCCTAAGATTTTTTATTAGATTTTTAGTTCCATTAACTCTTGATGAAATAATTAACGTTACTAAGGATAAAATACAAGAAATTAAATGCTGTATTTTTTTCAGAAACGTGCCGTTAAAGAGGAAATAAAGCTGTTACAACACAACTAACGTAATAAACAATCAGCCGAAGCGAAAAGTTGTAATATCTTTTGTCACGGTGTTTGATCAGATTTTATGCTTTTGGGTAATGTTTTTTTATGGCAAAATATCTAATAATGTGCTATATCAACCTCGATGAGGAAGGAAGGTGCTCATCCTTCGAAGATGAAGAGGAATGGGAGGATCCGGAACAATCTAACAACCGACAGGCCCAACGCCCCCAGTGGCTCAGCAGTTTATTTTTATTTATTTAACACTTTGTTGCAATAAATACGGAAATATATAATAACTTAGACATCAAGAATGGAATAAAATCAATTAAAAATGTAGACGATGGAATGAAAAACAAAAAAAGGACACATGAATCACGATAATTTCAGTTAGATCAGTTGCTACGAAAGTTATTGTTTGGTTTGGCTAAGATTTGGACAGGTAATGCTTGTACAAAAGAGATTTAAATGTGATAGAGCTAAAAAGGAGCTAAGCGGACAGGGACACATATGGTGAAATCCATAGCCTTACTGCGGAGACCCCAAAGGATTCGGAAAGAAAGGAAGAATTATGTGATAATTTAAATAATATTGTTTTCGAAAGAGCGAAAAGTCATAGACTCTAAGGGTTCATTCAGGAACGAGACTAAACGCGAACTGACTTTCGCATGTAAAAATCCAGTACATTTTTGACGTACGAGTCTTAGGCTTATCAAAGATATTTCGATTTCCTCATGACGTATGCCTTCATCTTACGACGCAAGTATTGCGCTCAAGTATACAATATATATATACGTAAGCGATTGGACTTGTTACTTTTTTACTGCATCATTCAATTCTTTATTACTTTCGTTGTGTGAAACGCGATAAAACAATTTCAATAGGAATTTTACGAATGCATTGCTTTTATTAAATAAAAACTTTTATCATATATCTAATATAGAATCAGACATCAAAGAAATTAATTAAAAAAAACAAGTGATATCAGATAATAGTTGATAACGCGTTAATAGAATTAATTTAAGAGCCCGGTAATAAATGTGATAAACATTATTATCATAAAAAGTAACTCAACCTAAACTTTACGAATAATTATTTATCAAATAGGATTCTTGATAATTATTCAGCAGCAGCAACGCCGTTGCAGAATACCATATTCAAGTCACTCAGTTTAAGTTTATATTCCATAGACTAAACCCTACTATATTAAATTATAAATCATAGTCAATAATATTTGTAGAGCTTCGATCGTACACCTGCCTGCTCAAATATTCAATCGTATTAATGTTTACTTACTTCCGTGATTTCACCATAATGAAACTAAAACAATATTGAATGAGGAAATTTCAGATTATTTTTAATAACAACTTACTATTAAAACAGTGTTATTACTTCTACTTTGTTATATGTAACCTATACTATCTACGTATACAGGTGTAGTATTAAAAGCATACCAGACGTTTTGCAATATTTATGACTTGATGAAAAACTCGAATATCATTACGCAAAATAATTCCTGATTTTTATCTGAACGATAAGCATTCAGATTACCTTTATTGCAATCTGGCTCTGGCACTTGTGATATTATTGATTCCTCTAAAGATAGACCGCGCCAATAGCCCACGTATAATTTAATTGTTTTATAAGAATTTTCAAACAAAGAATATTTGTATTGTGGATTTTCATGTAATTTAATAATATTTTATAAATAATATGACATTACAGCACGCTACATTCGGGCGGGGTACTAGTTTGCTTATAAATCGCACTATTAGAGCATACTGTTCTAGGAGTATTACAACTTTCGTGAGAATATCCCTGCAAAGTGCCGCGTGAGAATATAGTTTGCGTGTCACAGTCTTTATACTTGAATGATAAATTACAGTTCCAAGTGGTTTAAGTGAGCTGAATCAACGACAAACAAACTGTAATATTGATGACAGGGTTTCTTATTGAATTATGCAGAACGTTAAGTAAGGGGTTGTAAATCTGAACGCTAGAAAAAAATTTATGTGTATTTGTTACGTTCGCAATTTTGTATTTACCTTAATACAAGTATTATTTTTGGCAATAGGCACGTACTTTCTGAATCTTTCTAGAATAAATAGCGATGTAATAATTAAGATATATAGACTTTTTTCCTCAAGATCATAGCCAAAAATTAAAGACCATTATGGTCAGACTTTAAACATAAATCTAGAAAATTCGAACGCCGTACAGGGATAATATGTTACAATATGTAGCATGTACCACTGTTTCCTTTTATAATAGGTATTTCCATGGAAGCGTAAAAATATTTTTTTATATTCATATAACTTTATCGACTAAGAATGTTCTTTTTATTTTTAATACGTGCTCATAGGGTATATTTCCACAACAGACTTAAGGATTTATCCCTATCCGCAGAAGAATAGGTAATATAGTATTGTCTTTGAATAGGTAATGTTACATCGGCAATAATCCTACACTTGAGGGTTTCCTAGTTTCCGAAGCCTGACGTAACGTTATAAACGACCAAGTTACCACTGCATTGCGATTTAATTAACATTGCAAGTAAATAAGGTCTAGAAAATTGAAATATTAAATAAGAGAACACTTTAATAACTTCTTAACTTTGTATATAAATTGCAAAACATGTGACCAAAAGAACATAGTATAATATTTCTACGTATTTGTATACGATATTATTCGAAAAATAGATTTTAGGTACTCTTTTCGTTGGACTGTGACGAATCAAGAGACAATAGGAGATATTTCACGTCGTATGCGAAATACATAGCCGGATGTGGAGCGGTGAAAGTGTTAGTATTTGTAAAGACATTCAAGTACATATTTGCTCATTTATACATCACCTACTAAGTTATTATATTTATTTTGATTACATATTCTTGTCAATACCGCGATTTCTTGTAAATACTGCTCTCTTTGAATGGTAAAAATGGCCAATAGTTCATCCATGTATGTTATCGTTACCTAGAGAGAGTAAACATAAATCAAAGAAAAGGTAATATTATTTTCTGGTATTACATAATCACTTAACAATTTTCGTAATTAGTATTTTACTATAAGCAAACAGGGCTTTTGTTTTATTACCCTGTCAATTCTCACTTAATATTATTTATTTTATTTATTAACACTTCATTGCATATACATTAATATAGTACAATTGACATAATTAAATAAAAAGGAGAGCAACTGGCGGCAAAATTTAATAACAGGAAACAGAAAATTAGTAATATGCAATGTAAATATCAAATTTGCATACTGAAAAATGTCTCTTAACAGTTCTTTTTGTACTGCTAATTGTAAGATAATTACAAGCGATTTTGACAATAATGAAAAACAATCATTATGTAAAGAACATTATTAGCAGCAATATTTGCATGCAAATAAACAGTTTGTTGAACCTGATGATGTAAGTGACATTATCACCACATACCCACTGTTTACTAAATGACACAAATGATTCTCATAGTAGAGGCTCTAAGAGCAAAAGTTTTACTCACATATATAAATTGTACAGGTGTGTAACTACAGTTTGTTAAATGTATTAACCTTAGGCCTGTTTTATGTGGGTGTGTGTTGCCTTAGCTGATGTCATTTAGTGTGTTTGTTGTTTATGTTGTGATTGTTTACAATAGAAGATAAAACTAATTGAAAATGGTTTTGTTGTCTATATTAACATGGTAAAATAAGATTTTTGCTGTAAAGAAAAAAGTTGACCTCAAATCATGAAAAAAAAAATTTGGAGTGATGGACCTGCAATAAAATAAGGTACTTACTTGTTATACACTCTGCAAAAAGAATTGTTGATTCTTTTATCTGACTTATGTCTTCTGCGATCCTCAAAAAGGTCCTTGATAGCAGTCACTGTTAGCACAAATAACACTGGTAGCATAGCTACTTCCTTGCCAAATGCATTTACAGCTGGCACCCAGTTCAGAAGCACTATGAATATAAAATACACATTTGCAATCCGATGGAATTGTTCAAACAAGTTTTTTGGTAAAAATGATAGTAAGGTGTATTTTGTTGTCCTGATTTTGTTATTGCATCTATGACCATTGGGGTGATCTTTAGGAGGTGTCTTATCAGGAATAAGATGGTTAGGTATGACAATAAGATGTCTGTTGTCAATGGCTGGTTGCTGCCTCCGCATAAGCCAAAATACTGCACGTTGCCATCGAGGTACCACAGATGCACGTCGTAAGGTATAAATTGAGTCGGACCGAGACGCCTGTCGGGAATGGCCTCGAACTGATGACAGGCGTGGTTGGGCACTAACAGGTGCAGTATCTCTGTGGCCTGGGGGCAATATGAATTCAGTCCTACTACCGGTGCGGCTGTGGCCAGGCCCAGAGGAAGGTCGGGCTCCTTCGCCAATCTGTCCATGGGACAGGGCACGCTGATGGCCACGCATAGCCGATTTGAGCGGGGGCCTCGCTGGATTCCCAGCCAATATGGGAGTTCCTCCATGGCTTATAGATCGGGAATGTCCTTTTACCTTTGGAAAAAGATAAGTCTGCTCTGGTACCCCCGGCAAACTTGGTACAATCGAAGGTGTCTCTCCACTGCCTTCTGTTGACATTTTTACTCATCTGCAAATCGTAAGAATAACTTTTCCCTTTCATTTAAAATAACAATATATGTCCACTTCGCACTGTTGTCCCACATTAGTCATTAAAAACTGGGCCGTAAACATTGAAGCATATGGTTTTTATTCACCTGTTCACGATGGCATTCATCAGTCATCACTCAAAATTTAGGAATTTGCCAAGCACGGAAAACGCGATATTATGTTGGTATAAAAAGGATAACAAGCACATATTAATTTTATTTAAATCAAAATACTATCAACTAATCACAATTTAGTTTGACCGCCACGAAGAGAAAACAGACGTTACAAAACGTATTGTGTGTACAAGACGGAAACTCAAAATACATTGACACAAAAACTAATTGACACCATCTAGTCCGGACTTGGCTTATGACATTTGATTTTAACTGATGTCTACGCTGACACCTCAGAAGCTGTTAAGGCTTGACATCGACGTCATTTAATATTGTGCATACACCCACAGACTTAAATAATACTGTCTAATTGTATTTGATTTGCGCGTGCACTATACGTTTAGTTGAAACTCTATTAATTCATATCCGATGAACACGAAATTTATAACATATTCACGTAACTCGATATTTCAAGTGCTTTCAGCAAGTGTTGGTCGGTGAGAGACATACATATTATATACATTCGTTTTTATCAGTTAATTAGGTGTACATGTACCTCAATAAATATAATATATACATTATACATATATCTAATTTATACTCATAAACTACAGGACCGATTTTGATGAAACCTGCACTGTTGTGTTGGAAAACACATTTAATTTCAGAGAAATTCCTTACTGCTTAAATAGTTTTTGATAAAGTAATATATTATAATGAATAATTATTAGGAATTGGTTTCACAGCTGAGATAGAAATAATACAATTTTTCCGGAATATTGGCACTGCATCTTGTAGACGTCACCACCGGTAGACATATTTGCTAAAGAATCCGACATATTGAGTTTGACGTTTCTAAAGTGCAATTTTGCCCGATTTTACTTGCACTGGTACAATAATTACTAGATTTGTCGATTAAGATAGATTTATTTCCATCATGGATGAAGAATACGATGCGATTGTCTTGGGTACAGGTTTGAAAGAATGCATTATAAGTGGAATGCTTTCCGTGTCCGGAAAAAAAGTTCTTCACATTGATCGCAATAAGTATTACGGAGGAGAATCTGCGTCGATTACCCCATTAGAAGATTTATTTGCTAAGTTCAATGCCCCTGCACCGGATGAAACTTATGGACGCGGTCGTGACTGGAATGTGGACCTAATCCCAAAGTTTTTGATGGCGAATGGCTTGCTTGTCAAGCTTTTAATCCACACGGGCGTCACCCGGTATTTGGAATTTAAGTCTATCGAAGGAAGCTATGTGTACAAGGGTGGAAAAATTTCAAAGGTGCCCGTCGATCAGAAGGAAGCTTTGGCCTCCGATTTGATGGGTATGTTTGAGAAGAGGCGTTTCCGCAACTTTTTGATCTATGTTCAAGATTATCAGGAAGATGATCCTAAAACTTGGAAAGATTTTGATCCATCTACAGCGAATATGCAGTCCCTGTATGAAAAATTTGGGCTGGACAGAAACACACAGGATTTCACAGGGCATGCACTAGCCTTGTATCTTGATGACAACTATTTGCAACAACCAGCCAGTCAAACAATACGACGTATAAAACTTTATTCTGATTCCTTGGCGCGTTACGGAAAGTCGCCTTATCTATATCCTATGTATGGTCTTGGTGAACTGCCTCAAGGGTTCGCGCGTTTATCTGCTATTTACGGAGGCACTTACATGCTGGATAAACCTATTGATGAGATTGTTCTTGGTGAAGCAGGTAAAGTTGTTGGTGTGCGTTCTGGCAATGAAATAGCAAAATGTAAACAAGTTTACTGTGACCCTAGCTATGTTCCTGACCGCGTGCGTAAGAAGGGGCAAGTTATAAGATGTATATGCCTGTTGGATCACCCAATAAACAATACTAAGGATGCTCTTTCTACTCAGATCATCATACCTCAAAAGCAAGTGGGAAGGAATTCTGACATTTACGTCTCTGTCGTGTCCTATACCCACCAAGTGGCAGCCAAGGGTTGGTTTGTCGCTATGGTGTCCACTACAGTTGAGACCAATGATCCCGAATCTGAAATAAAGCCAGGCATCGATCTGCTGGGCCCAATCAGACAGAAATTTATTTCTGTGACAGACTACTATGAACCTATTGACGATGGAAGCCAGAGCCAAATCTTTATTTCTGAGTCTTATGATGCTACTACTCACTTCGAAACTACTTGTCTAGATGTGCTTAAAATTTACAAGAGAGGTACAGGTGAAGAGTTTGATTTCTCTAAAGTAAAGGTAGAGTTGGGTGAAGAAGATCAATAATCATATATCAAATCATATTAAAATATTGCTTGTTACTTTTGAAAATTTGTTAAAACTGGCTTCTATTATATTTAATAGGGATTTTTGGGTATGTGTAAGAGATTAGGTGAATGCAGTAGCTATGTGTATCACTACAGTGCTCCAGTCAATGATTTTGTTCTTATAAATATAATATGCATAATATAAGATTTGTTATTTATAGGGTTTTACCTTTCCATAATAAAGATGCTTTTATATTATTATTTAAAAAACAAGCCTAAGGATTTTATCTGCATAAGCAGATGTTTATGTAAATATTGTTTGCATTCCAGTTTTGATACACTATAACAGTATAACTAGTATCCATATCATACCTATGTCAACTAATGAATGCTCAGTGTACATCATAAATATTCTTTGTATGATCATGAATTAAATTACCTTATTATGTAATAAATAGTTTTATTTATAGATTCAAACTTATAATTTAAACAACATTTTGTAGAAATAATATCACAGTAACCAAATACTTAGGAAGATTCACAAATTTAAAACATATTTAATGGCATACAAATTATCATTTCTGCAGCCTATAAAAATATAATCACCATACACGGCAGGTGTAGAAAATGTCTCATTTGGCAATTGATAATCGGCGATAACAATTCCTGTTTCAGCTTCTAAAATGCTTAGTATACCATTATTTGAAGCAGCTATAATTAATTTATCGCTCAAACTGCATGGTGTTGAATAAACTGGTGAAGATAGTTGAGTTTTCCAGTTCAAACTTGGCTGGAAATTTTTTATATTGATACAGTAAACTTTGTTGTCATGACATCCAAAAATTATTTGCCATCTCAGTTTATCTATTTCTTTAACAAAAAGAGATGAAAATATATTTCCTTTTGCACCTTGGTATTTCCATATCTGAAACATTTTAAACCATTACAACTTATGTCCAACAGTCAAAATTCAATCCAAATATATAAAATAAAATAGGAAACAAAAGTTCAAATATATAGTTTTAAGAAAGTATGAGGATGATTCACATTAATGACAATATGAAATATAGGAATAATGAAAATATTGAAGAAAAATATTAAATTAACTAAAGATAGCTATGGGTGTCGGCTTATTAAACATAATCAACCATAATAAATAAAATAAAAATAGCCTTTATTCGAGTACACTATAACTACAGTAAGTCCATGTCTTTTAAGTTTTACACTTGTACTCGACCTCCGATGGAGTGAAGGCCTCCTCCAGATTCTTCCACTTATCCCTATTTGATGCGACAATTTTCCAGTTTTTTCCCGCTATCCCTTTTATATCGTCTTCCCAAGTTTTCGGTGGGCATCCTCTCTTTCTTCTTCCCACTGGGCCCTTCCAAGTAAGGGTCTTTTTGACCCATCTGCCATCACAAATGCGGCCAATGTGACCGGCTCATTTCCATTTTAGCCTTTTTGTATAAGTTACAACATCTTTTATTTTTGTACGACTTTGTATCACCTTGTTTTTTATTTTGTCTTTAAGCTTCAATTGAAGAATGGAGCGCTCCATAGCCCTTTGGCATACTCCAATCTTTTTTATTAACGCCTTGTTAAAAATCCAGGTTTGGCATCCGTATGACAAACATGGAAGTATGAATGTGTCCATGACTGTTCTTTTTATAGTTAAGTTATGGTTGGATTTCAGTACTTCTTTTAAAGCCCAATATTTGTTCCATGCTAGGTTTACACGTCTGTTTGTTTCTTCCACATGTCTGTTTTGACTAAACGATATTTGTTTTCCTAGGTATATGTAGTTTTGGACATATTCAAGAGACGTGGCGTTGACAAAAATTGGTCGTTCTTTGCTGTTAGTCGTAACTTTAGTTTTGGAGGTATGTATTCATTTCTAGGCCAATGCTTTTACTTGCGCAGACTAATTCGTTAAGCATGTCTTGTAGCTGCGTCGCACTGTTTGAGAAGATAACTATATCGTCGGCGAATCTCAAGTTGCTTAGATACTGACCATTTATTTCTATCCCTTTTTTCTCCCATTGAAGGGTTTTCATTACGCTTTGTAGAACCGTTATAAATATTCTAGGTGACAAAGGATCGCCTTGTCTTACGCCTCTGCATATTTTTATTTCTGGGCCAATTCTGTCTAACTTCACGCGGCTTACGCTTTGCTGGTATATATTTTGTATGAGTTCTATTATTTCATAAGGAACATTACATTCACCAAGAGCTTGCCACATGCTTTTGTGAGATATGGTGTCAAAAGCTATTAAATTAACTAAAGATAGCTATGGGTGTCGGCTTATTAAACATAATCAACCATACCTTAATTCCTTTTTCAACAGTCCGACAGTGTATTTCTCCATTGACTTCAGCAAAGATGACATATTTGTCATTGTCATAAAGTACAGGAGCAGCAAATACAGGGCTGCTCAGTGTTCCACGCCATGCTATTGTCTTTGTTTCTATATGTGTGCTTGCACATACCCCTGATAGTGTGCCAAGCAGTATAAATTCTTTTTTAGCCAGAACTAAATCTGCTGATATTGCTTGCTCAGCCACATTGATTGTTAGTATTATTTTCCCAGTCTGTAACAAAAAGTAAAAACTAATAATTGCCCTTACAAAATCAAGCTTTAATAAATAACACAATATTATATTTGTTTTAACAAGGCAGGTGAAGTTCATAGATAATATATAAGATAATGCTTTTAATTTAGCAATTGTAAAAGGACTAGGATACTATTAATTAAATAAGCTCATACCATAGCATCAATGCATCTTATATTTCCATCGTAAGCTGCAACATAGAATTGTCCTTTGCAGAATGTTGCTTTGCTTTTGATCATAAATCCAATATTTATTCTCCAGATTTCTATACAATTCTCCAATTTGAAACAAACAATCGTTCCATCATGAGCTCCAACAATCCCACAAGGTGCAGTAAGAGGTGCTTCATTACAACAATATACAGAGGCTTCCACTCTAGATTTCACTTTAATCAGTCCTTGCATTAAGCCACTGATTGCATCAACAACAACAATTTTTCCTGAGTGACTGCCTACTGTCACATACAATTTGCTATGGAAAAAAATGTGATTAGGTTTCAAAATTCATGTATGGTAAAATTTTATAATACAAATTAAAAGCTGCAGAATGCTTGCAAAATTTTATCTTCTATTCTCACTATAGAAATTATTAGTTATTTTACAAATAATTTCTATTAATCACTTTAAAATACACTATATTATATGTAGGATAGTAAAAGTATACTAAACTTACTATCCATGTTGAAACAGAGTGGGCGAAGCATCTACACATTTGCCTGTATCAAATGACCAGGCAACGATAAAATCTACTGGGTTTGAACTGGGTGAGCTTTCCATTATCTTCTTGACGGAATGAGATGCAGAAAAGTGACTTTCTGATGTTGAACGAGTCCTAAAATATATAAAAATATAACAACTTTATTTTCTTATTTTGAAAATATTCCGAAGTATTTTACCAAATTTTTAATACACCCTTAAGACCTTTAACACACATTTTTTACAGTTAATTGTTTTGTAGAAAAGTATGTTCCGCCTTGCGTGCTTTCTATTTTAATCAATTATTGTCTCTTCAAGTGACACTATAACTATATTTTAGGTCTGAGCCTCAGATTTCTGTATCAGTTGTGTTGGTGTTTCTTAACAGTCATTGTCAGAAAAGTATATTCTTTTTCTCTCGACTGTTAAAAGAGTGAAAAGCCTAATACTCAAAATTACCTTTTTAATCTTTTTTTTGTTTTATTTTCCATGTGTAATTCCTTTAAAGCTATTTGCATAACTTGGTCCATTGTGCTTTTTTGAGTGAGTAAATAAGGCAAAATAAACTTGCCGAATTCTGGACATGTTAAAGAAAGTTTATTGCACATAGAAATTGCTAGGAATGAAGTTCCACCAAGTGAGAAAAAGTCCTTATCTTTTATTTCATCATATGTAAAAGTTTTATTTAAACTAACTTTTAATTCTTTCAACAGGAGTACTTTTAAAGAATTGACTGATTGTGGTATTGGCAGGACTTTTTCAAACATTTGAGCTAGCATTTGTCTTGATATTTTACCATGTGCATTAGTTGGCAGATTGTCAACTCGAATAATCTTATCAGGCCACTGTTTATCGTCTAGTTTGCATTTTAAGAAATCTGATAACTCTTGGCTAGTTAGTGATTCAGATGAAAAATATACAACAAGAAGAAATGGTTTTGGTAACCAAACACATGAACATGTCTTCACTCTTGGACATTGCATTATGACGATTTCAATATGTTGTAAGTTTACTTTATGGCCAAATCTCTTTATAACATCATCTCTACGCCCTCTATAGTATATAGTACCATTTCTTATTTCACCAATATCTCCAGTGTCCACAAACTTCAAGGAACTTTGCTCTTCGGTACCAATAGATTTATTTAAAACAACACATTTTCTGGTTTTACTCACTGAAATAATAATTTCAAGATTAATTAAGATATCAGTTTTGAAAAGAAATTCTACAGCAGGAAGTACTCACTTAAAACAATTTTTCCAGTATCAGACGTTTCTTTAAAGCGCTCTACAATAATATCAGTTTCTGATAAGCAGTTACCAAGGGGTACTTCTAAATCCGAGATGATTTTAGTAAGATCTAATTCTGCAACACTGGCCCAACAAGACATTTCAGTTACACCATACAACATAAATAATTTTGTTTTATTCTGTGCATGTTTTAACTCCTTTAACCGTATGATTCCATTTAAAGGCTCACCTCCTAATGCCAATACCTTTAAGGTTGACTGAGGGGAAAAAATCTTATTTTTGATGTCTGCATTTGAAAACTGAAAAAACTTAGACGGTGTTGTTTGCCAAAATGTTATAGCGTTTTGAGTATTTCCAGGGAAGAGAATGTCAGGTTTTTCAGGAGCTATAAGAAGTGAAGCACCATTAATACATGTTATTAGTATTTCTATCATTGATGGATCAAATGTCAATGGCGTTGAAAAGTATATAACATCTTCCTGTGTTATATCAAATAATTTTGTTAAATCATCTAAATTGGGTTGTATACACTGTATTGGGACTTGAATATGTTTAGGATCTCCAGTGCTTCCTGATGTCATTGCTATAAATGAATATTCCGGGCCATAATGTGAATTTGTACTACTCAACTGAAAATTGAAGATGTGTAGTGTTAGGTTAAACACTACAATAGATTTGTCAGGTCGTCTGTTAAGGAGCGTATCAGGATCATTTTCTTTAGTTTTGATTGAAATTATGAAATTAAATTTTATTTCATTTATAATTGACTCAAGATCTTGCGATGGATCAAGGAACATAAATGTTGTGCAACTTTTATGGGCTCTGAAAAAGTAGGAACAATTAAAATTTAAAAACAGAACACAAAATATAACAGAAACAGTATAAACTTACGCAGCTATCACACAAGGTACGATTATATTTCTCTCTGAAATTAGGCCAACTATTCCTTTTGTACAGTTAAGTTGTTGCAAGTTTTGTGATATGTATTCACATATACCATACAGCTCAGAGTAAGTGTAGGTGCTGTAATAGCCATTATTGTATTGCCGGATAGCGATATTTGAGGGATAAATTGCACAAGTCCTAACAAAAACATCATAGTAGCCTCGCTTCATTTTATATTTTTGATATTTAATAAGTTATTGTTTTCGGCAATCGTTTCAAGTACAGCGAGTTTACTATACATGATTAATGCATATCATTAATAATTTACAATTTTGTTTACGTTAATTAAAAAAGTTGTAAAAAAAATTAAACTATTTACAAACTTGAAACTTGAAAGTTTGTCAGTTGTCAGTTCCCATTACATACAACGGTGTAGCGAATCGTAGATACGCAGTACGCACTAAAAATTAACATACTCTTTTGTGTAGTATTTTCTCTAGGATTTTGATGTATGTGTAAAGATAGGACACTAAGGAAAGAAGAAAACAGACGTCACTCAGACGGACTTTGAAGACAAGTGAATATATATATGTATGTTTTTCTTCCTTGAGCGTTTCTATGTGAATATAAATTAATTACTCTTGTTTGTGAAGAATAAACCAATTAACAAAGATAAAAATGGGTTGTGATTTATTTCAAGCACATCCATAATTGGTCAACAAAGGGGGGGAGGGGGGGTTTTGGGGGGGGGTTTTTTTTTTCCGGGGGGTTTTTTTGTCTCCGTAGGGGGTGGTGTAGCGAAAGGTAGATACGCACTAAAAATGTACATACTCTTTTGTAGTATTCTCTAGGGATTTTGATGTATGTGTTAACAATAGAGAACTAAAGAAAAAAAAAAAAAAAAAAAAAAACAGACCACCCCCGGACGGACTTTGAAGACAAGTGAATATATATATGTTTTTCTTCCTTGAGCGTTTCTATGTGAATATAAATTAATTACTCTTGTTTGTGAAGAATAAACCAATTAACAAAGATAAAAATGGGTTGTGATTTATTTCAAGCTCATCCCATAACGTCAACGTCGCCTATCGTTTCTTCGATCTAATTTATTTATCTTGGAACAATATACTATAACTTTAGCATACTTGTCAAAATTCCAGGGGCCTTAGTCAACTGTTAAGGCATCTTGCCTTAACAGTAGTGTATGTAGAAAGTCAAAACTAAATTTGTATGAAAACTCTTCGACACGAACGGTCAGTTTCCATACAAATTTAGTTTTCGACTTCCTACATACACTTCTGTTAAGTCATCTTAACTAAGGCCCCAGTAAAAGTAAAGCTTTTCATCTATATTTTAACAGAATACACGAATAATGTTCGTCAGTTTCTGTTTCTGCAAAATTTACTAAAGTAGTGTGTTCTTATATATTTTCTATGTTCCTGGGTTATTAACTATTATTATGATAGATTATCTCGACACCAATCTTACGACGAAAAAAAAAAGCCAACATCACGAGGTGTTCCCAGGCGGTCACCCATCCAAGTACTGACCTCGCCCGACGTTGCTTAACTTCGGTGATCGGACGAGAACCGGTGAATTCAACGTGGTATGGACGTTGGCGATAGCTAAATCGAAAATGTAAAATATAACAACTATAGCAAAAAGTGTCGTTACAACTTTTGGTCTTAATTTATTCCGTCTAGCCCCCTTTCGCAAAGCTCGATAACTTCGTTCCAACAAGACTAATTTAGTTAAGTGATTCCAAAAATAATTATCATTTCTTATCCCTACAAAAAAAAGCCAACATCACGAGGTGTTCTCAGGCGGTCACCCATCTAAGTACTACCTCGCCCGACGTTGCTTAACTTCGGTGATCGGACGAGAACCGGTGTATTACAATAGCAAATAGCAAAAAAGTGTCGTGACAACTTTTCGTAAGAATTTTTTCCGTCTAGCCCCCTTTCACAACGCGCGATAAAGAACTTCGTTCCAATAATTATATATAAAGCTTAAGCGTTTGTGTATAAAAAATGTATTTGTGTTGTATAGTAATTTTTTAACATTATTATGACGTTTCAACGTGTCAAGTGACACATGGCGTAATAGTAGCAATTTTTGTAAAACAAAAACTTAAAAAATATTGGACAGTTTCTTGCGTTCTCCTTCGCTCTGCGCCTTTGATTTGGAAACTAGTAGTATATTAATTAAATTTAAAATAGTATTTTTTTTATTGAATGTTTTTATTTATAAGTTTAATTACAAGTATATACTTGTAATTAAACGAATTTTGATTGGATTTGAGTTGATTAAAGCAGCATACTTTTCACGGGCAGGCGGTGTAAGTTTATGAATATTGTTTTTACAAATATAGTACTAATACTACCATATACGATTATGACTTACCAGCTTAATGCCAAATCAAATGAGAATGAAAGTAATAGAACATAGAAGAAAAAGTATGAAAGTCCAACTGAAGGAACATACTGTTTTTTTTTCATAGATAATTGGAAATTGTCTAGATACGCCGTAGACTTTAATTTAAATAACTTAATTTGATTTTTAAAGCTTAGTAAACTTAATCTTTACACTTATAACACTTAAAATTTAACTTACCTTGGTATTAATGTCATTAAGACGCAACTTTAAATATAAGACTCACACCTCTTGTGTAATTTATGTAATATCGTTTTAAAACACTTATAATAAAAGAGACATGTATTTCTGGTAAGATTTAGGTAAGTGTAATGAAGCAGAATTAATATTCAAAAAGGCGTATGTCGTAGCCATTTTAACCATTCTCTCTATTAATATTTTTTCATCTAAATAATATAATAATATAGAGAGAATCGTTGGTTTGCGACTCTCAACTCTCGTACGTTCAAATTAAGGCTGTACACTGATGGATTTTTCTTTACGCATTTAACAATCGCTCGCTGAAGGAAAATTTCGTGACCCGGTAAGCTTTAGATCCAGAAATCGAGGGAGCGTTAGGCAGAACCTTGATCATCTGCTTACCTATTAACTTAAGAATTATCAACAGATATAGAAATCAAAGTCCAAAGGTTGTAGAACCATTGGTTTGAAATAATAATGGTTATATAAAAAGTTCATTACATTAAATAATTCTCGCTGAAATAGTTTTATTTTAGTTCTCATGGCGGCAATTTCAAAACAGACAGATTTTAGATTGCGGCCAGGATCTCAGAAGACGAAGCGAAACTCCAGACTAAACTTTCGTTTTCTTTTCATAATTCACTAAATAGTTATATAACCAATGCAATGATAGCTTATTTAGGCTTATTATGACGGATCGTAAATTTAATTGAACTTTACATTAACTAATCCTTTGATATTATTTATTATAGCGATTAATTCACGCAGGCAATTTCTCAAATAAGACATAGATATAATGTTAACTTAGCCAAGTTCGTAAAACAACTAAATAAACGTTGCGCAGAGGCTCTGCGGCGGTGCTGACCTAAAACGTATTCGGCAAATGAACAATCAATTAGGGGCGGTCAGCGCTCCGACAGAAACAGGCTAGGTGGTGGAAAGCGGCGCGCGCGCTAACTGTGGAAACTCGAGGAAATGGCGGAGGGTGCTGACTGGCTGAATGGGGTTGCGCCGCTGCGGGGAGCCGCCGTAGCTTGGGGTGACCAGCTAAATCCCTTAATTTTGCTACGCTAGTTAAATTTATTATATAACCCTATAATTTAAATGTTATTTAAAAAATCCTTGACTAAAATATCAGTATGATTAAAAAACCTACGGAGTCCTTAAATTAGTCTGATGATAAAAATTATATCCTAATAGATTTTTTATATCCAATGCAATCTGGCAAAAATACTAACGTTAATATACTTATGTAGAGTAACATAGACAAATACAGATTCCCGGATTTCCCGGTCAGCTCAGTCAGTCAGTGGCCACCCTACCGAGGGGTGCGTGAGGCGGCGCGCGTGCATCGATCCAGCGTTCAGTATCGTTCAGTACGCCGGGGCCGCCGGCACGAGCGCGCGTGTAATGCGCCGCTGACATGGCCGGCACTCGGCCACTCGTGGCCGTCTGGTTCTGCTGGTGGTGGCTGAGGCACGCGGCCGGTGAGTACACCCTTCCATACACACACGACATTACTTATTTCCGATCAGCTGATTTATATCCACGTTATTTGCACGTTTTCCGCTGGGTGTGACAAACAGCTGATTATACTAATTTTTAAAATTTACAGGCTTTTTTCGTAATTGTATTCGTTGAAATCGATCGTTTCGTACCGCGATAGGGCAGTGTAATGACTTTAGAGGGTTCAAGTTCGTTCTCATTGAGTAGCTATTTTTACGTAACTTTTCTGTTTTTCAGAAATTTACGTATTTTAATGATATAATCATTACATGAGCTAGATTGTTTACGTGTTAAGTAGTGACAAATAGTTGTTTAGTGTGGCATTGAGGTGTATAAGACGAATTAAATTATTAAAAACTTATTATGACAAAATTTACGCAGGAATACAAGCTTACATAATTGATGTACTTAAAAATTTTAAACATAGAGTCGTATTTCTGCTGTCACGCTGTGTTCGTGCCGATTTAAAAACTACTAAAAAGTTCTATAAAACTTATGTTTCCCATGTGAAATTATAATTTATCAACCGTATTTTAGGTGTATAAAGAATTGTCTTATACGCTGCTGTTATCTATTTTACGATTCTACAAAAAAAAAAAATCGTACCAAAGTCACATGGTTTCATTGATGTTGTATTTCGAGTAATGTCCTAATCTTACATCATACGATGTACATCTGCGTAAATATTGATAATCACGCCACTGATAGCCCTTCTATGTGCAGGCGCATCCTCTAATACCTTAACGATATGATTTCGTCAAATGCACAATTTTTATCTATGTATCACGGATTTACTTGCAAAAACTACTTGAAGCAAGCCTTCAAAAACTTGCACCGCTGAAAAACGCTTGGTAACTTTGAAATTTTCATTGCACTAAAAATGCGTTAGAAATATATGTTTAGTGTCTATTAAAATTGTTTAACAATTTTCCACAGTAAATTATTTATTGGGTTAATTTAACCCATATGTCAATATTAATATAATAATTAATATAGTACGTTTATCTTATCAAAAGTATCGGGTGATTTTATCACACCATATATTTCGCACCAAAGTACTACCAAAGTCGAGATTAGAAGATAATGCAAATATTTATAACATTGCGCGTTATTATATTTTTTAAAAACCTAAAAGCATAAAGATTTGTAAATGTATAAGTGTATAATATAATAATTCTAAATAATTACAATTTCGGGTAATATTAACCCTTGGGCCCATTGAAAAGAGTTCAACGCGCAACATTTTAAATAAGGACTTAATAAAATTAAGTTCTAAGAAAATTAATAAAAAGTAGTTTATCTTATAAGTTTAAATATAGTAGAAAAATTAATGGGAATATAAACCAATTACGTAAGTAACATAACATCGGGTCCTTCAATCTGGGATACTTTATTAATTACAATCAAAAGTAAAAAGAAATAAATTTTGCACAATTGAATTTCGTATACATTTATAATTTAGTTACGTTTTCAAAATCAAGTAAAGCGTAGATTACAACCTTTTAATAAAATATACGATTGAATACATTAAAATAACTCAGATATACAATATATCTGAGTTATTTGTAGGTTATATTATCAAAAACTTCATTCCCTTCAGAAAATCAAAATAGAACATCTGGTAGATGCGGAAAAGGCTTCATTTCCGAACATTTGTCAACGCGGCCGACGACCCGAGACACAATTAGGGCAAACATTGAATGTCTGTCTGAAGCTAATCGGCTGTTAGATACAATAAAATGTTCATTAACATATTTGTTACAAGTCGTATTAGGAGTTTCATCCATTTATATAAGACTCGTTGACACTCGGTATCGTGGTTAAACAGCTTTCCCTCATAAATGGACTATGACAGCTTTAAATAAGTTTAAGTGTAAGCTAAAAGACATTTTAATCAATGCAGTTGACAAATTATCGTATTTGATTTAAGTATTATTGCTCTTAAAATTACACAATCACTCTCTGCTACCCACAAGTTGTCTTGGCCTCCAAAATAGAAATCTTCCAGCGCTCTCTCCCTGTCCTCCTGCCAACTGCTGGCTTTCATCTGAAGCTGGACTGGATTCATTTCAAATAATTTGAAGTAGTCTATAAGTATGAGGGTGTGCAATTATTTAATCAATTACCGTCTTAAGTTCGTAATATTAGCGCGTTTAACCAATTCAAAAGGGCATTAAAGATACATATCAGACTGAGCGTAGTAGACGTAAATTGGGACGGCTGATAGCGACGTGTATGTCGTTTGTATATATTAAGTTTCTCATGTAAATAAAATACATTATTTTTGTAATGAGAAATAAAGTTCTTTAAACAATAAACATTATTTCAATTAATTTAAAAAATTCATTTCAATCTATAATTTCTTTGAATAGGCAAGTTAGTCGCGGTCAATTTTTGGGTCTCAGATACGCCTACATCAAGAAATTTATCAATATGAAGAATTTTCTGTAGAAACCCTTAATGGAAATGTCTTCAAGCCTCAAGACGTATAATCCTTCGAAAAGGCACTGCACAGATCTCTGCCCGAACTATTGACTGCTCTACTTCTAGTCGCACGTTTAATAGGCCATTGGGACGATAAGTCAGAGCCAAACATAGTCATTGGGACTTGGCACAAAGCCAGCTTCACCTGAAACTTGACATAAGTATTGCATGAAGCAAATGTAGGAAGTTGCCTGTGACTCATAATCGTAATAAGTATATAATTTTAAGTGATAGTTCAGTTCAAGTAAGCTTTTCGAAATTGAGAAATATTTCTAATCGTTAATTCATGAATTACCTTTATACAATCACTGATATCGTTAATATATGTTGTCATGTACGTAAATATAATATTTATATTACAAGGTAACGTGGTATACATTACATGAAAAAATTTAATTTATTTACGTCTATATTATATGTAACTTACGTATAATGAAACACATTAAAGAAAATACATTATTTTTGTCAAAGAAATATGGAATTCTAAATAAGATATATGCAATTTGCCCGTACCCCGCTCGCCTTACGTAAGCTACTTTGCCGCATTGAATTTTTATCGTCGGCCCCACGTTGGTCTCATTCAAATTTTATATTCTATTGCCGCCTTATCGGAAAGTTTTCATGAAGGAAATTCGGGGAAAGAATGGATGAATAATGAACTTGAGCTGCGTGACCTACGGTTATACGATACGGTTGAATCTATTACACCAAGAAATTGCAATAAAACTAAATATTTGGAAGGTTTAGAAAATCCAAAATCTAAAGAAAAAACTGTTTGACCGGATTGAAGTTATGTATTACTATAAATTTACAACTATTTAACATAATTTTAAATTTATCCGACGTTTCGCGTGCTTTACAGCGTGCGTGGTCACGGTGACTGAAGACAAAAGATGTTAGATGTCAAAAAGTATCACAGCTGTAGAGAAAGTTGCCTTATCTGTATTTATTACCCCGGAGTTGGTATCGACTAAAAGATGGAGGGTTTTGGTAAAAATGGCTCACGGTGTCCTCTATTTTCGCGGATTGTTTACATAACTTCAATCCGGTCAAACAGTTTTTTCTTTAAATGTGTAAAGGTTATGTAAATCAAAGACAATACTAAATCCAAAATCTATTTCTAGTAACTGAATCAGCAGCGAAAGCGGCGTAGTACGTCTGTGCGGAAAGAGAACCGTCGTAGCTGTTATGCGAATTATATTATATTTGCTACGCGTCATTTCACAGAAATTATAAACTTTTTCCAAAAACATTCGAACTACAATCGTGTAACAGTGTTGCCATCATTAAAAAAAGTTAACTGCTGCGATCTAAAATCCTATGATGGGTTTATTTCCGCACAGACTCTAGTACTCACCCAGCTCCTGAGTTTCAGATAGCCTGGAATTTATTGTCTTAGATAAGATATAATATACTTATGTGTTTTTTGAATATAAAAAAGGTTATCAATAAAAGAGCAATCGGGTCTCTTATCAAGATCTTTTCGATAGCAACAAATTGATTTCTTTGAGAATTTCACGTTTACAGTAATGTAGACATTACCTTGTGTAGTTAGTGTTTTGCCGCAGATTACCTTATCGTGCAAATCTGTTTAAAGAGAATAATCCACTGATAGTGCTGTATAGAATATGAATGTCGCGTCACGTTGGTATTTGTATTTAATTGAACGTAATTCTTACTTGACGACCTAGAAATTTTTTGAAGAATTTCGGTCTGGCACAAACTGGTTGTAGGTCAATAAATAGACGTTTCTTAGTGTCCTTTAAATATATATAATACTTGACAGTTTAGCGGGTAATCAATTTAACTAACCGATGGCAGATCATAATATAATCTTAAAAGTTAAAAACATCTAATACTACAGACATTGACAGATTTTCTAAGTAGTCTGTGCTGTTTTTTGTCCCTTTCACACAGAATTTTTAAAGAAATTGCATTACATATTATGTATGTGAGCAATTGATTTATGGGCGTTTAAATGAAATAAACACTGCACACAAGAAACAATATCCGGTAAGTCACCCGTGGGAAATATTGACGTAACAAAATCAATACAAATACAATAACCCGCTCGGATTCACTTCAAAGAAAAGATATGGTTAACACGAAACAACAGTATCAAAAATGTTTTTTTACCTAAAAATATAGAAGCTCAAAACATTTTAAACATACGAGTGGATAAGTATAATGATTATAAGTAATTTAATTATTGTATTAACATTAAAATAGTAATATATATTTATAATAATACTAAATATACATTACATATAATGTTACGTGAGATGCCTAACAACTCCCAACCTACATCAATCAAAATACGAGAAACATCGTTTTATCTCTTTCTTACGCATTAGTAGGGCCTTAGAAAATAAAAGGCCAACATATCTCTTCCTGTGCTGTTTTAGCGCGGTCTATGCCTAATTCTTATTCTATAGTCATAATCAAAAAATACTCAAAATCAAATAAAACTTTATTGAAAAAGACATCTTTACCATAAAAATCGTATTATATAAAAAATATCATGAATG